TCTTATGTGATTTGATTGCGACTTTAACTAATTGATAATAAATTAAAAATATTCAAGTATTTGGGTTAATTAAATTGCCTTCGCTATAGTGATAATACCTCAGTCCTTTTCCCAAAATTTCCCCACTCGTAATTGTTATTCGTTTTATTACTTCTTTCTTTTTTACTTTTTCGTAATTAAAACTTTTGCGTGCTCGAAAATTGCGTTGATTGCCTCAAGAGCATAGCCCTTAGCTTGTTACCTGTCTCTCCTCTCTTTGTCACTCTCACTCTCGCTCCATTTCTCTCCCTCTGTATGCTCGCTTTTCGCATTGAACTTTGCATTTAACCAAATCAACTTGGCGTCCAAAATGCCACAAAAAAAAAGAAATATGTATATATAATATTGATATTTACACTTGACCTAATTGGTTGCCTTGACAGTCGAGTTTACATACGTATGTGTGTGTGTGCGTATGCGTGTGTATGTGTGTAGTACGCTGTCCTTAGCATAAATAATGTCAAACCCAGCAAGGCTAACAAAATAGAGAATTTGTATATATATATAAATGATTCTATGCGCTTTTGCTGTGCAGTTACAAATTGTTTTAATACTCGCTATTCAAAAGAAAAAAGGTATATTAGCTCTTCTTTTTTTTTTCATTAGCTACAAGACTTGCCAAAATATTTATTGATAATCTCTCTCTCTCTTGATTTTTCTTGACCTTTTCCGCAGATAACTCTTTCTATTCTCGTCTGCTCATTGAGGCTAGGCAAATTCCCATACATTAATTTTTGATAAATTTAAATATTAGCTTTTTCAATAGTCTGTTACACCCGACTGCAATATTCTGGGTTTTCGCGTGCTTTCGGCCCATTAGCCAAATATGCATTGTTGTTGGTTTTTCATTAAAAGTCAAGACGCTGCGCGTTATTAATACAACAATAAATTATGGGCAGCCACTGTGCGGCAAATGCGTGTAAGAGGCGCATAAAACGTCAAGAAAATGTAAAAAAAAAATATTAAAAAAAATATACACAAAATATTTATAATTATGAAATCTACAAGTCGAGGCGTGGGCCGTTGCCAGAGCAGCGGCAGACAGCGTGGACTGCTGCTGACCTCCACAATAGTCGAAATATACAAATGCTTTTAGCTGCATTTCGTATGTGTATATATTTTGACCATGACCTTGCCTGACCTCTGCCCAGGCCGTTTTCTTGCTGCCGCTGCTGCTACTGGTTTGTCTTCTTCTAATTTGTTTATTCCATTCCTTTATGTGACACATTTCTTGCTCAATTTTATTGGCACTAATTAATGTTCGAAAAGGAAACCAAAAAAAAAAAAACTGAAAGCAAAAAGTAAACAAAGCGAAAGAAAAACAACAACAATTTCATTCATCAATCATTTTGTGTATTTTAAGTGCTTCAATTATATTGATAGTCTGAGCAACTAGCACTTAAGCTAGCATTTGCCTATTTGCATAAACCCCCCTCAAAGTGCTCAATGAATGGGTATATAAGTCGCGCTGTCATATCTGATATGGGACTAAGACGGCGACTTTAAGGCCTAATAGGTATATTGCGTTAAGCGATTCATGTTAAAGTTCAGAGTCAACTAAATTGCCTAATGATAATTGCCTAAACTGATAATAGCTCTATCAATTTCTCAATTTCTCAATCATTCACTCAATGCTCGCATATTAATCAATTTTATGGTGGTCATAAAAAAGTCTGTGTACAGCTTTTTGTTTCTTTTTTTTTCTTTTGTATTTTCTTTGTTTTATATTTTGTGATAAATGTTTTCCTATTGCCTTTACAACTTCTGGGTGATGTAGGAATATTTTGTAAGATTGTTAAGAAATTGCAATAGGTCATGTGACCTATGTAGGCTACATAGGACTGGGATCAACTTCTTAACATGCTAAAGTTCATTCTTATCAGTTGATATATATATATACATATTCTCTATTTTACTAACAACCTTTAGATCTCTTTCCACATCGCTTCAAAGGGCATCCCAGCTGTTCTCATAGTTCAATTATCATATTATGTATTTAACCTATTGAGCTCTTTTTAAATCTCTTCACTTTAATCATAAGTACATATATCACATATAATATACATATACTATATACGTATATTGATCTATTGTATTTTGAGATCACTGCAAAGTAAATAGAAGGCCTACGTCTTCATAGATAATTTATGCATTATTTATGACAATTAAACTCTTTAATTTCATATATTATTTCAATGAATACTCCAATTTGAATAATAAAATCATTCATTCATTATGACCAAAAAAAAAAAGTTCTTTCTTATATATATTATTTATTCATATATATTATATATCAAAGTAGACGTTCCGCTCGGCTCTTTAATTGCCCGCGTTTCCGTTTATTCCTCCCTTGGCTGCATTAAAACATCTATTTCGCTAGCTCTTAACGCCCATAAAGCCTACTAAACTCCAGGGAGTTGAAGTTTAAACGTATTCCAAATAGGTACTAAATGCTAATTATCTTATCATGACTCGCATAATTTATAAGTTGAATTCCAACTGCTCAAAATTGATTTAAAGTAGATGAATTGAATTTCTGCTAATAATAATTTTAATTGAGGAAATCTTGATTGTTAAATAGTAGATAATGATTATTGGAGTTAGTTTTCCTATTATTATTACTTATTAAACTATTTTTGAAACATTTTCATGTTATACAGAATATTTTCAACAGGTGCTTCGCACATCGTGCGATGTATTTCCAAGTCGAGCACTCCCCACTAGAATAACTTTGAGTTTTATTGCATTGACTTTGGGTTGACAGCAACATGTGACTGACGTTAGTTGCTAACTCCAACTAAACTAATTGACTCACATATAGCTTAAAGAAAATTGGCATACTTTTTCTAAATTGATTTTTTCACAGCTTTCCATTTATTTTATTTTATTGTTTTTGTCACTAAGTGTGCTGCGTTTGGTAGTGTGAGTTCTTCATTTGTCAGATTTATATATAAAATAACATTAATTTTTTACATATATAAATTCGAATTCTAATTGTTAAAGTGTGAGCAACAAATTAACAAGTTAATTTTAATTTAGTTGTTGTTCAACCAGCTCGAGCTGCTTTTTATTGGAATATAAATTCTGGATTTTGTTGATGATACGAATTTAGTTTTGAGTCATCTCCGATAATATGTTAGGCATGTTTCTAATACACTTAACACTAATTTGTTGCTGAATATATTACTCTGCTGCGTGTCGCCCCTTCAACTCGTGCGGAACTCTCTGATAAGTTGACTGAAATGGGCTAAAAAGCTGGTTCAACTGTCTGTCCCAGCGTAAGTTCAAATCGCAGCTGGATGCCATGCAGCAGTAGCAACAACAACAACAATGACAACAACAACAACAGAAGCAACAATCTTTGCATTTGCAACGCCAGCTCGTTGTGAGCACGCACGAAATTCATTGCTCACACATTGGAGTCGCTCCAATAAGCAAACAGAAATCCAAGTTAGATGCAAGAGCAACTGTTGCTGCTGCTGCTGTTGCTGTTGTTCTTGCTGTTGCTGTTGCTGCTGCTGCAATAACAGCCACATAAATCTTTTCATGAAAATGCAACTGCCAACGCGCTGAGACGTTGTCTGGCCAACTTGGGGGCTGGCCGGCTGACAAGCTAGAAATACGCTGAGACAGACACGGACAGCCCAGACGGACGGATACACGTACACGAACAGAGACTCTGAGCATAGGCTGGGTAGCCTTGTAACACTGCCCTCAAATCAACTAGCAAACACGCACGCGTTGCAGCCACTGCTAACAACAACAACTACAACAGCAACTCTAACCACATCATTATAGTGTCAGTAATGGCAAAAAACAGAAAAAAATTAAAATGCGCAGAATTAACAGCAAACAACGGCTTGCATAAAAATAGAAGAAGACAACGACATATTCATGCGCTAGCAAACGGTCTTTAAGCGAGTATATAACAAAATTTTCAAACAAATTTTATATAATTAAGAGAAATTGAGTAACAAATGTTAGCTTGTTCTTCATTCCGTAAAATATTTTTATAACAAAGATAAAGTTTATTTATATATTGAAGAAGTGTTTTGTAAAACTTAAAGCACAAAAGCCGTCATCATTTTATTAATATAATGTTCCCTACGTCTGGTGACCTTTCTGTATTTCTTTGTTTCGCTCTCAAGGTCTAGCATATAACAATAAAATAAATTTCTATAAACAGAAATAAAATGTACTATGATAAGACTTATAAAATTAGAAAAAAATGTGGTGAATTATTTTTAAATTTAAAATATAAAAAACTTTTTTATTTATTTATTTATTTTTTTTTTTGTGGCTTGTTTATATAAAGAACAACAAAGTAACTTATTGTAAAAAATAGTTTTCTTGGGTTTAATTCTTGGGTTTAATTTTCTTTTGGGTTAAATAAATTCACCTTTTTTACTGAATATTAAATATTTTAAACTATTTTTAATGTTCATTAAAATATTTGTTAAGCTATGTCCTTGATAAAACTAGGTTTGAATTTAAATTTATTAAATTTATTATCATTGCAAACATTTATATACCATTAAAGCAATTTTATTTGACATATCAATAAACTGGTTTTCTTAGAAATACAAATTGTCTATTGAGTCATATGACTGCACTTGGAGTATGCCATATTTTATATGCACTCATGCCAAGAAAAAAAAGAAGTGCAGTAGCAAACACTTACTTAATTTCTTGAGAATAAAAATTTATATATCATTCCATTCAAACAATTTTTTATCTGTCTTCTAAAAATGCTTTAACATGCGGTACTAATATTTATTCCACGACTGTATACATTCAGATAAACAAATACTTAACATTGTGCTGCCTCAAATCTGTTAGCGTGTGGTACTAACACTTATGCCACGACAGTCAATGCCAATAAATTCATTCCAATATTCCAATAAGCAAATCTAATCAGACTGTTAAAATCACGCTGTCAGCTTGCTAAGTTTTGCTTATTAGCAGTAACATTTTGTAGCTCTGTTATGCACTTTTCAAGTACCTGTTTTGTTTTGTTAAGTGCTCTGTTTGTTTTGCATATGTTAATTAGCATTCAGCTTATTAACTATAAGAATACGATCAAGTACAGTAATTGTGTAAAAGTCTAAGACTTTTAATTCTCTGTGAGTTAACAGATGTTCGTCGTCAGTTCACGTGATGACATAGTTACGCCGCTTGCCGTTGTGTTTATCTCGCTCTCTCTCTCTCTCTCTCTCTCTCACTCTTTCGTATACTCATTATTTTTAAGTTTATTTTATTTCGTTTTCTTATTGTATGTGTTTCGCTCGTCAAGGGTATTCGCATTCATAATTAATTCTTAACGGGCTGTGTCAACGTGTCGCTTGAGTGAAAAGCAGAGTCAGAGTAAGATTCAGACTTTGCTTATCGAGTAGGTTTGCGTTGCTTTCATACGCATTGAGAATAAATTAAACGATTTTCTCTGTTAGTCGAGTATATTTTATTTTGTTTGTTGCCTTTGCTTTTTTTTTTTTAAATTTTTTTGCTTTACTTTGTTGAATTTGTTTTTTATGATTATTTGTATTTTATTTTGCGTAGATCTTGAGCGAAAACGAGTTTTTGTTAGGAGCGGCATGCGAATGCATGGCTATAAAAAAATACTGAAAAAAGGCATTTAAATTGAGACAACCGAAACAGAAAAATCGCAAAAACAACAGCAACAATTGTCATTTAAATAACGCACACGTCGTCGTTGTCGCCATGTTATTTTGTTTTTCGTATTTCTTTTTACTTTTGTTTTTATTTTTGCAATTATTTTTGTCATTTTTATTTTTTGTGTGCTTTGTCGTGTGTGTACATGAGAGATAAAACGCGTACATTTCGCCCTGTTTTGCATAGCCTAGTGCCCCCCACTCTTTCTCATTCTCTCTCCGTCGCTCTGCCACTCTCTCTGTCTCTCTCTTGCTAACCGTTCGGTGCGCTGGCTTCGCTTCGCTGCTCTCTATGTCGCTTTGGCTCATACATTTTGCAATGCAATTTTCATTCAAAATTTATGGCCCAGCCAAATAGAATCGAACACGAAAAAGGCAAAACAATGAAAATTGAAAATTCGCTTAGGTTTCAGTTTTTATTTTCATTTACTTTTTTTTCATTTTTCCTTTGTATGTTATTTTGCATGTTACGTGTATCTCTCGCGATGCACACATCTGTGTGTTGTTTTGCCGGAAGCTGCTGTCTATGCAGCTCGTTTGGCAGCCAGAGGCAATGCCATTATGTGATGCGGTGTGAACCGGTTGCGAATTACTATGGGAAGAAAAGTGGTGCAAAGAGCGCTGCCCATTAAAGTGGGTTGCTTTAATTTAAGATCTGTCATTTGAATTTCTAATATTTGTTTGTTATGTCAGATAAGATTTAAGCTGTAAAGTAGAAAATTCGTAAGTGTGAATTGTGCTAGAAGTACTCGACTAGGAATTACCTTGAGCTGTACATTATATGAGTGATCGAGTATGATTTTTATGGTCTTATCTTTTTTATTATAAACAAATATATGCAATACACTACTCTAAATTATATATTTTAATACTTAAAATTAAAAATGAAAGAAATCTAATATTTAAATAACGAAATTTGAGAATTTCTTATACAAATATTAAAATTAAATTAAGACTGCAGCACTATACAAATTCTTAATAGAATATTTTTGACTCACCTTTAGCTAAACTTGTAGACACACAGGCGCATATCATCATAGCACCTGTATAAACTAACAAGTTTTTATATTAACTTTGGTTGTTGTTGTCAGCTTTGAATTGTGCAACAGTTTGAAGAGTTGATAACAAATGCGAAATAGACGTCAAGTGTTAACTCTTTCGATGGCTTATCACAATGCGACGCCTGTTTGTCTTTCTTTTACCGTTTGTTTTGCTAGTGCTAATATTGTTTTATTGTTGTGCCTGTAAACAAGAAAAATAAATGAAATTGATCTAAATGAAATTGATGTAAAAATTGCAATAATTTATACAGCAAATTATGTTCATTCTAATTCGAATTCCGATACTCCCTCTAATTCTGAGGTTATTTTGTTGTCCTCTTATACTCATTCACGACAGCAACGTTCTTGCTTAATTTGTTTATCTAACCTGGAAAATGGGTTAAGATTATGCACCCCAGCAAAGCTGGCAAAAGCTTGGATTTGTTTTTTTATTTTTGTTGTGCCTCAGCAGTAACTGCGAGTATTACATAAGCCATAGGACTGATAGCAAAGGCAAAACAAAAAAACTGTTATACATGTATAAATAAATAAATATATACTTATGTATATACAGTGGCCAACACACAGATATACATATATATACTATAAATGTTATTATTTTGTTTAGGAGCGAGTCGTGCTTCGCCTAATTGAATTTGTTAAAGTCTCCCGCTCGCTCTTTTGTTTTTCGCTCGCCAACAATTCAATACAAATGACATGTAATCAATAATAATTATTTGTTATTGCGTTGACATTAGACAGTCGGGCGAACGATTGGCTACAGCCAAGCATTCGATTGGCATGAGCGGGTGCAAGTCGGTGTCTGCATGCAACCAAATGCCAAAGCAGGTGCTTGCCAGCAAATTAATTGAGCTCATTTTTTTGTATTTTTCATTCTTGTCGCCGGGCCCGGCCTGGCCTCTCGGCTCATCTCTCCGCCCGTAGTCGAATGTTACACGAAAGGCGAAATTATTGATTAATTCTGTGTGGCTATTTATTTCATTTTTACACTGTGCAACATGATATTGAGGCTTGCGAATGCAGAAAATTAATTAACGAGTGAAGCAAGAAATATTATAAAAACTAATTATTTTTTATTTTATTTTTTTTTTTAATTTAGTTTTTATTTAATACATAAAAATATTAAATATAAAATATTATTTCATATATATATGTATATTAATTAATTAAATTTTAGTTATATACATTTGATATTTTTTAACAAGTCAAAATTTATAATTATTTTTAATGTTACATTATTAAAAAGTTATTTATATTTTTTAATTTACATTATATTTATAAAATATTTTTTGTTTAAAATAAAAAGCTTTGAACTATTTATTCAATATTTATACTTTGTTTATTTCATTATGTTTATAGTTTCTTTTATTGTTATTTTAAATTATTTTTATTTAAATTATATTGTTTATTTTAAATTATAGATTATTTAAATTAGCATAAAAGAAAGCAAACTTTTCCTTTGCTGTCTAGTGTTACTAATTAAGCTATCATTTTTCCATAGTATTTCAACATGTATGCATCTTGAAAGTGTCTGTATGTGAAGGTATATGTGTGTGTGTGTGTCTGTGTGTCGTCGTTTAATTACATTTGCTTATTACGTATGGAAATGTCTGTCTGATAGATGGGCTCTATATGATTGATCGTTGTAAACGATATTTGCTATAAATATGAAACTACGCATTCGCTGAAATTGTGTACAAGCTGAGGAGATACAAAAATCTATTGCTAAGTGCAGTGGAGACGACGTTTCGATATTGTTGGCACGAAGGTCAGCTGCCTATAGAAATTTTGTGTTATTTAGCTAACGTTGTGTGCTTACCTTGGACAGGGGGCGTATACTTAATATATAATGGCATATACATACATATAATACGCATACGCAGCGTTATGCGCCGCCTACGCAGTCCTCAAGCATTCTTGTGCGAGAGTTGAGTTGTGCAGACTGGCAGCAACAGATAAATGTAATTACTGTCTTATCATAATTACCAGCAAAATGAGAGCAAAAAGGAAAAAAAGTAACAGAAAATACAATAAACGCTGTGTGGAGAGAGGGAGAGAGCAGGGCGTGGGAAGGCACAGACGATGACGATGACGATGAATGACGATGCCAGGGAGTGAGCTCAGCTGTGTAGCTCTCACGCATATATATATACTCACACACACACACACGCACACACAAGTGCACTTCACTCACAGCCGCAGAATGAGTGCGCTGCGTGTTGGCAAAATGAGAAAGCAGCAGCAACAGCTTCCTTTGGCCTGTCAGTTGTTGCTGCTGTTGCTGTTGCTGTTTCAAATTTAAATTTTATTTTATTGCAGCACACAAATTGTGCGCCGGCAGCGTTGTTGCGTGTAAGCCCCAAACCTCAGCCACAGCCACAGCGTTGGCATTAACCGCAATGCGAGGGCTGTCCTGCGAGAACTTAACTATGCAGCACTTAACCAGATTGCACAGCAAATTTAGCTGAAGCGAAACCCAAATGGTATTAACTCTGCAATAAAATTGTCATTGAACAATCCACTTAAATTTCATTGACATATGTATGTAGGGATGTAAAACTAAATTAATTTGAATAATTCTATACTATATAAACAAAATTAAAATGATATTTTAAAACTATTAATTATTATTTATAAAAATATATATTTTTATGTATATAAAAAATGACCAAATTAAATGTCTCTCTGTGAAAAGCAATTTTCTACCTTTTTTATTAAAGCTTTTAAAGTATTGTTTCATATATGGGACAATATTATAATATATACAAAAAATTCAAAGTTTTTGTCTATTGAAACAAAATGTTATGATATTGTTAATTTTGATATTATATATCATATATATTATATTTTATATATTTGATATTATATGTATTTAATGTATATTTCATATATTAAATATAATATATAAAATATATATTTTAATTTAATAGCTATTTTTATTTATTTATTTTTTCATTCAATTTATAATATTGGTTTATATATATATATTTTCAATTTTTTTTTTATATTAAAACAAATATTAATAATAAAACTGTTTTAGTAAAAAACACAACTGTTGCAAATTTTAATTTTAATTTATTAAAATATTTATTTATACATAATAGAAATATATTAAAATCAGTGTATGACAAAATTTATTGTTTATTATCTGTACAATTTTAAAAAAGTTAAAAAAAAGTTAATAAATAAGGATTAAAAAAATTGTATGCCTTCTATTACCTTTGATCTGAGTCTAAGTAACTTTTTTCTAAGGCACTTGTAATTAAAAAATTAAATTAAATTAGCTTGGCCCAGATATTCGAAAACTGTCTTTACTGATTGCTATAGTTGACAGAGCTACTTGGACAAATGTTGTTCTGTAGTCTATACTGCATCCATATAAAAAGAATTAATTTTGCAGACCTGTACTCCATTGTAGAATACAGCCTTTGAAGCGGAAAGACATTTCAGTTCAATTAAAGCTGAGCATATCTTCAAAATATATCTTCCGATATCTACATACAAGAAAAATATATTTAACATTCAAATTAATAAACACATATTTTACAATATCATAAATTTAAGCAAATATGCCAGCAAGCATACAAACGCTAATCGCACTGAAGATTCATGAAACTAAATGATTGCTGTAAATACATAATATTTTGTTTAGCAATTTGAGCGTCATTTAGTACCGTCTGTTGCTCAACTAGAAACGTTTTTTTATTTTTTATATCTCACTCTATGCTCTACTTACGCATGTAGCTAACTCTAATTATCTTAAAGTAAACTTCAAGTCTTATTAGCACAGCTATTTCAATTTGAAAACATATTATCTTTCATTGTTGAGCGGCCCTCCAAACGCTGTTGCCTCTCTTCGTATGTGTGTGTGTGTGTGTGTCTCTGTGTGTGTGTGTGTTTGTTGCGTTAATTGCCTTCATGCGCGCGCAAGTTGAGTTTCTGACCTCCCGGGCCACTTCCTTTACATGGCGCACAGTGCGCCTGTGGGGCTCAAGTTGAGCTGCCGCTGCTCCGGGCTGCTCTTAACCTTTAATTACTTTCGTAGTTAATTTTGTTACAACAAAAGCAACAGCAGCAGCAGCAGCAGCAACAACAACAAGGGCAGCAGCAGCAGCAGCAGCATCAATGCCATTGCAAAAATTGAAATTTGCTTTTAATTCACGCGTCTGGCCCTCTCGAGTTATGTGCTGAGTGTACTCAGTGTCCTGTTTTTAGCCCAATCTTCTGTTCGGACTTCCGTTTCCTGTTCATTTCCAGGCTGACATTTCCAAATGTATTTGTCATTTTCCCATTTCCACGGCAAACTGCAGACCAAATTTTAATTGGTTCGTCTCGAGGGCCTCAATCGATTTCTGTTTTGTATTTTCAATTTGTATTTTTCGCTTGGTCACGCTCACTGTGTTCGCTTGGCCCGAAAATTGATTGAAATTTCAAAGCCAACAAGTTTATTGACATTAGATACGACGACGGCCGCCACGCATTTTATATATTTATTTGCTTAAGTACATACATGCACATATCTATATACATACATATATGTAGATATGTGTAATTGTGTGTGCGTGTGTATTTTTTTTCCAGTTGCTTGGGCGCAAAAGTTTTCCACGCTGCGATTTCACGATATTGGATGCCTTTTAATTGTCGCTTTTTTATTATTTTTTTTTTATTATTATTATTTTATACTTTTGTTGCTACGCACAGAACTCGCATTGCTTCAGTTATTGAAAAAGTTGAGAGTTCACAACTTGAGTTTCTCAAGTGGGCGTGGGAATAAGTAGAGCCGAGTCAGTCGCAGATGAATGATAACAATAAGAGAACTCAAACTCTTGATAACGAGTTGCAGAATTTTCGGCGTTTGTTGAACTTGAGCATTCAGTAAAACTGACGCCACATCTATATATATATATGTATGTATGTCTTTTCTCTTGATGAACTGGAATAATTTTCTCTAAATGGCCCCAATGAGCACTGAATGCTGCGACGAATGCCAGATGAAAAGGCCAAAAGTGCGTTCATCAACACTCGGCGCATGCAAATTTCTTTTTCTTATATTTGACTGAGTGCCATTTAATTAATGTAGAAGCTTTGAATATTTCGAGATGTTTTGTGCTGAGCAGAGCTTTAAAAAAGGGGGCGTGGTAGTCATAAAAATGCTAGAGTTTTGAGCTCTTAAAAAAAATGAAGGATAAGCTTTTAGTTTAGTCTAGATAGAAGTTTAGTCTAGAATAAAGTTGATGGCATTAAAAAGCAAAAAAACTTGAGATGATAATAGTCATAATGATGATGGTTTATTGATGATGATTTAGTAACCTGAAAATATTATGACATTTTTGAGAATGAGCTACCTACATTTGGGAAAAGGTTTAAGCTTCATTGTTAGCTAAGCCTCCACTCTGATTCAGCTGAGTCGACTCATTTGAACTTTCAG